GCTAAAAAAGCAAATATTATTCAATATCTCAAAGAAATAGTAATAAATGTGATATAACAAAAGGATACCAAGTTCAAGAGATAAAATTTCTAAGGTCATAACAAATAATGTTAGAAACTCAAATGACTTTAAACAAGTTACGAATTTTGTTCCATTCAAGAGAATATCAATTTCAATCCATAATTATACCAATTGTTAAAAAAATATACCAATTATTCTAAAAATAAACAAATTTGTTGAGATAAAAAGATGCATCAATTTTAAGCAATGAAAACAATAATTTCATTAATCAACCAATAGGGTTTCAAAAAAAAAATTAAACAAATAAACCATTAGAACTCCCCCTATAAAAAACATAATTTAACCATTAAAAAAATTATTAAATATCGAGGCTTTTTATAAAATTTCAAACAAAACAAATAATTTCTTCAACTTTCATATCACATCATAACTAATAAACTCAACAATAATTATTCCCCAAGGAAATCAATATTTCAAGTAATCATTACTATCAAATAAACTCCTTCAAGAACCAAACAAATATAATTTCAAATTTTAATTTAAACTCCAATAATAACTCAAAAAAAAATCAATATATCCATCAAAGAAACATCACAAGAATATTTTCAATATCACAATGTATTAAAAAAATCTCAATTGTCATTTAGAAATAAACAAAGTTACCAAATAAAGTGATTTTCCACTTGAAGCACCAAAAGAGAGTTATAGAATTGTGTTTGGGGGTAAAAATACCCTGGACACGTGGAGGACAGCCATTGGTGCTTTAAAGATGATTGGAGAACCAGGTCCACCTTGAACCGCCTAGAAGACCGGTTGCAGCCATCAAAAAGGCTAAGTATGAAAGCCGAGATACGACATGTTCGGGGTCCGACCTACTGGGAGACCCGACAGGTCTGATGTGAGAAAAGACAAGTATCCGCCGATCGTGTGTACTGTCGGATCCATCACTTATAAATAGAGGGCTTCATTTCACGCTCAAGTATCGAATCTCACTTCGAACTAAATAGAGAGTCCGACCTATACTGACTTGAGCGTCAGAGTGTTTACCCTCTTGTGCAGGTCCACTCTCGTGTTCAGGTCGGACCAGAGACCGGGTTCGAGCTAGGTTTGGAAAAAGGACCGTTGTACAAATCTTGAATAAACATTTGGCGCCGTCTGTGGGGACGGACGTTCTAAGTCATCCCAATTTAAGAACGCGAACGAAAATGGTTCAGCCAGCAAACTCAGCTAATACAGCGACCGAAGAGCTCAAGCGGCCAATGATGGCCACCAGAGGGAGGTCGGAGCGGAGGTGGTAGAAGGGCAAGTTCATGAAGGCCTGGAGACAGAACCTCTCCGCAAGTCGGCACGTATCACCACGCCCGTTCTACCACCAGCACATCCAAAGCCATCCAAGGCCAATCGTGGCCGAGGTGGAGCTTCAA